AGAAACATCACTAGAAAATAAAAAAAAATGAATTATGAAATGTGATAGTTTTAATCAATCTGATTTATTGGTTCAAAATTCTTGTATAATGCACTTGTCTTGTCCAAAGAGAGACTATGCAGGTCTCAATGAAGACCAGGAGGACGTGAGTTCAATGACAAAACCAGAAGTAATCATCCCTGAACCAGACCCACAAGCTGAACTTAACACAGCCACTAGCAGTCCATTGAAACAAGATGCTGTTTCTGTTCCAGCACATGATGAGGTACAAAATAATTTAAATAAATTATTTTGCTCTGTTTATGATACTTCCAAAGCCACCATGATGTGCTTGTCTAGTTCCAAAAGGTGTGAAACAGGTACCTCACTAAGCAAAGAACCTATGATGCAAAAGGTTGCCTTAAAGAGAGATGACAATGCACTTCCAAAGGAGCAATCTTTGCTTCAACACCTCTCTGAAGAAGATGACATTACGCCCAGAAGCATCTTACTTCAGGAAGAACCCCCAGACCAGTACTTAAACAGACAGGTCGTGCCATTGGAAGCACCAATCCAGCTTCCAAATCAGGTAAGTACAACTATCCCTTGTTCAAAAATCAGTAGTTTGGGTATTGTACACACTGATTTATTATGCCCTGATAAGTATGAGAAAATAATAGGATGTTTAGAAAATTGTTTTAAACATACTGATTGTTTTAGACCACACTTAGATGAAAGGTAAGAAATTTTTCCACCTACTGAAACTGGATTGCATAAAACTGATTTAAATGTTAATTATTCCATGACTGCCATAACACACTTGTCTTTTACCAAAGATGTTGAGATTTTAACAGGAACCAAAGCTGAAGAATATCAGTCCAAGAATGCACCAGAACAGAACAGAGGAGTAGTTCTGTCATTCCTACTGAAAGGAGAACCACCTGATGTGCCAACAAAGACCAAACCAAAATTGTATCACCAAGGTAATGTTCTAAACTCCCAAAAGAGAATGAAACCTGACTTGCTCTATTGTGGTGTATCAGGTTATCCAATTTTAAGGTCAAAACCTTCACAAGAGGGAGGGAATGATGCGGCCATCAAACCATTAGCTGAACCGGAGGTTCACCAAACCGACCAAACCAACCACCTAGGCGATACCATCGACATAGGTCCAGTCCAAGGCGTATATCTCGACAACAAAAAGGCCTTTTGGAGTGAAACCAATTTTCATGGATTCTACACTCAAGCATATGTCAGGCCCAGCTTGAATTTCGATAAAAGACCCACGGAAGAAGAAGTTATAAATTTTACAAGACAGAGGTTTTCCAGTCCATTCATCCGCGAGTACCCGACCTTAAAAGGAGATTCAAGCCCGAAGAAGGAGCAGACTGAACCAAATCCCATCATAGGATTCAAGAGGAGTCTCTCCGCTTTCCAGAAAGCCCAATATAAGGAGAAATGGCCACGGAAATCAGAAGTTATGATCCAAACTCCAAAACCGGTCAGACCAGCTCTACACTTGCCTCAATTGGAAGCTGGCCGGTTCAGTCAGCTTCAAACCAAACATTGGCGTCCAGGAGATCATTTCAACCAATCAGGAGGTATTCCAGTAGTCCTTAGCTACATCATAACCCAGGAGATCAGTTGGTTCAATGGAGGCTCACTTAAATCAAACCGGAGCTATTTATGGAAAGATTGGACAATCTTTCGGTTTGATCTTTTCCAAGCAATTCTAATCCGATCAGAAGACACCAAGACTAAACCAAGACGTCCAGGAGACATTATAGGCGTCCAAGAAGAGTTCTACAAGTTCATTCCATGCACCATCCATCATAGGATCAGGAGGATCCCCATTAACACCAAACTGCCTTATTTGGAGTTCTTTGCAATAAAGCCCCAACAGCTCTTATCTCTACAGATCAGGCACGACCTCAGCACATATCAAGCCATCAAGAAGATTCCCAGGAAGCTCTCATACCCACTTAAACCGGCCAGACTCAAAGGAATCAAGTTCCCCCATTTATGGCAGAGCAAATCCCATTCCAACAGCCATATTCCCCCAAGATCATCTCCATTGAAGACTAAACTTTATTTTCAAGTTATTTTCTTTCCTTGTATTATTTATGACCGTTTGGTCTTGTCTAGAGTCCCCTAGGAGAGCCTATATAAGCTCCAGTCGTCCATCATTGTAAAAACACCCTTGATCATTTGAAAGTTATAGAGACAGTTTTTCCTTAAACAAAGTTGTGAATTCTTTGTTGTTCTTTCTCTAGTTCTTTGTGTGAGATTCACTAAGTCCTAAAGAAGCCACGTCCAGAGAAGCTTGTGAGACTCAAGACCATCTGTTCGTCCATTGATTGAGAGAGTCAATCCCTATCCAGCAATCCCCATCTTTCTATCCCTTTGTTTACTGTTTTCTTATTTTTTGTTTAGTTCTTCATTTGTTTCTCATAAATCTAAAAACCATAAAAGTATTGTGCTTTCTGTTGTTCATCATTTGATTATTGTTTATCTTCTGTTTATCTTTATAAATCTACAAAAACTCATAAAAAGGTTCTACTATTTTCAGGTACATCGCATCATCACCAATCCACCTATACCGGCCATCTCTCGTCCATCCTTTACTAGTACCGGATCCGACCGGAACTAAACCTCAGTTCGACCATTCTTATAGTCTGATTTTCAGGCTGTATCAATACTCTAATTAAGTTAGGTTTGCTAGAAACAAGCGAGAGCTGATCGATCATACTTGATGGTAACCAACTCGCCACACCCATCGATTGATGTCGATACTCGACAGTCGATGAACAGTGATAATTAGTGGGCGGTTGTTTTCCAGCGTATCAGTTCGGCTGATAAACAATCTGTTAATTACAATTCACGTTTCTAAATCCTAGATCTAGCTAATTTCTTTATTTGAATTAAGTTAACATCAAACAACTTTTAATTTACTTCATTCTGATAATTAATATAAATACTTCACTTAGGGTAACCATACGATTATTAAATTTATTGTGTGTTTTGTTCTCTATTGATTCGATCCCGAAATACTGCAATTGATCTTTCTTGGAAAGAGTAGGTTTTAGTAGAGTTTCAGAGTGTAATTTAAAGAGTAGAATAAGAGTTTGTAAACCCTGAAACGCAGCCCTGTCACACATCAACTACTTTTATTTTTTTTATTATCGTTCAATTTATTTTTTTGAGGTGGCATAGTGAAATATTCATCAAAATTTGGAAAAAAAAATCACAAATAAAATATTTTTAATCTGCTACAAAAGCAAATAGTTCAATCAAAATTTTCAAAATTGCCCTCAAGATATTATGAGTTTGTCAAATCATCTTTTTGAGATATTCATTAAGAGCATTCTACAATTCTTTATAATCAAGCTCGCCAGGGTAGAATACAAAATAGATTCTTATTACATAATTAAAAAAATTTAAGTATAAATAAAAGTTATGTATTGGTTTAATATGTGGTTCAACTGATAGTCGAGTTTTAAGTTTTAATAGTTTTTTGTTGAGTTTATTGAGTTTTAAATAATGGTTTAAAAAAGAACTAGATTATACATCAGATTAGGGCTGGGCAAAAAAAACCAAACCCGAAAATCCGAACCGAATCCGACCCGATAAAAAGAAATCCGAACTGATCCGAACCCGATATAAGTACCGAATGGATCTTGTTTTACGGTATTTCGGGTTATGGGTATTACCCGAACCGAACCCGAACTTAAATGGATATCCGAAAGAACCCGAAACTTTAAAATTCCAAAAAAACCTGTATCATATCCAATCTAAATTTCTAATATGTTTCCAAAACAGATTAATATATTATTGAGTACCTACAATAATTAGTTATGATATAAATAATTAACTCAAATATTTAGTCTAATATATAGTGTTATTTGGTTAATATTAATGTTTATGATTGACATTACATTTGAAGTTAAGTTACGAATAAATTTATTTTGAAGTTTATATAATGTTGTTTTTAAAAGTTTAAATAGCACTTCTTATGTTTATAGAATTGTTAGTTGTTAACTTTAATTTTTTATGTTACATTATGTATTATATTTCGTTCCTACAAGGCTTTGGTTTGTCATTAATCATGATATGTTTAGTGTTGTCACATATAGTTCATTGACAAATCTTATATGGTTGATAGATGAGTTTCACAATATTATTTTGAAGGAGAACAATATGGTTTGTAGAAGCTAAATACACAAATTTAATAAAATGATTGAAAATATAGTGAGTTTAATTGAGTATAAATTAGTATTT